TTGCTTTATGTATTTTGAAACTATGCTATTGATGACACAATAAATTTAAGACTGTAATATCCTCATGGTAGGTTGATTCCTTCAGCACTATGAAATGTTCTGTTTCTAGTAACATTTCTTGCCTTAAAAGTTTTATTTGAAATTACTATGGCTACACCAAAGGTCGTTTTTTCCCCCCATTCCTCTCAAATTTTCTGTGTCCTTATATTTAAAGCATTTCTCTCATAAGTCGCACATTGGTGTTATTTTTTAATGAAGTCTGACAATCATAGGTTTTTGCCAGACTTAATGCATTTGTTTTTAATTATTATACTTAAGTTTATATCTATTATCTGTTTTCTATTGACACACCTGTTTTGTTTTGAGTTTTTTGTTTTTTGTTTTTTTGTTTGTTTGTTTTTTAAACACATTTTCTCATCTTTTGGCTTAACCAAATATTTCTATTCATCTATAGGTCCCTTTTGAACTTGCTGCCTTTACACTTTCACTATTATTTCAGTTGTTAGTACAGAGGTTACAACATGCATCCCTGACTCACTATAACCTAATAAAAATATTACACTTAATAATCCCACAACACAATATTTTAACTCCATGTAAGCCCATTCTGACTATCTTCTGGATCACTTTCCTTCTGCCTAAAGAACTGCCTTATAGTACTTCAGTGAAAATGTGCTGGTGATAAATTCTCTCAATTTCTATTTACCTAAAGTATTTTTTTTTTCATCTTAACTTTAAGAGTAGGTTTTTAGGGATGCCTGGGTGGCTCAGCAGTTGAGTGCCTCCCTTTGGCTCAGGGCATGATCCCGGATTCCCAGGTTCATGTCCCATTTCAGGCTCCTTGCATGCAGCCTGCTTCTCCCTCTGCCTGTGCCTCTGCCTCTCTGCCTGTTTCTCATAAATAAATAAAATCTTAAAAACAACAAGAAAAAAGAAAAGAGTAGGTTTTCACTGGGTATAGAATGCTAGGTTGGCATCCTTGGCAATTTAAGATCTCATTCCATTGTGTAAGTGGCTATGGTTTTCTTTGAATACATCCCTAGAGGTTCACAAGTTCTCAAGTATGGCAATGTCCTGAAAGTTTCATGAGAAATATTTTTATAATGTTTTTAACTAATTCATTCTCTCTTCTTCTGTAATTCAAATCATCTATTTGACCAGATCCCCCGTGTATTTTATGTCCTCTTCTGTTTTAGTCTATTTTATTTTCTCCCTCTCTGCACTTCACTTTGGACATTTTCTATATACTTGCCTTCTAATTCATGAATACTATTATCATCTACTATCATCATCTATTATCATCTATCATACTATGTCCACTAAGTTTATAAACACATCCACTGAGCTCTTTTTTTTTTAATTTTTTTTATTTTTTATTTATTTATGATAGTCACAGAGAGAGAGAGAGAGAGAGAGAGAGAGAGGCAGAGACACAGGCAGAGGGAGAAGCAGGCTCCATGCACCGGGAGCCCGACGTGGGATTCGATCCCGGGTCTCCAGGATCGCGCCCTGGGCCAAAGGCAGGCGCCAAACCGCTGCGCCACCCAGGGATCCCTATCCACTGAGTTCTTATTGACAAATATTTCTTTGGTTCTACAGTGGTGTCTCTCTCTCTCTCTCTCTCTCTCTCATACACACACACACACACACACCTCTCCAGAATAATTCTCCACTTTCTTACCTCTTTTGTTCCTTTTCTTCCTCTACGGTCCTAAACATAATAAAGTTTTTGCTAACTCCAATGACTGGATCACCTGTGTTTCTGCTTTCTATTGTTTGTGTTCTCTCTTGGTTTTGAATCAAATGGTCCTGTCTCTTCATATACTTAGTAATTTTTTATTGAATGCTGATTCATAGAAATTCCAGATGATAGGAAGACTGACTCCTTGTTCTGCTGGGCAGACAGAGCAGAAGGTAAGTTATATTAATCCAGTAAGGAATTGAGACGGGGAGAGGCTGTGCTGTGGATTTGGAAAGTTTTAATCTACTTCTGGTAGATCCTAAAACCTGACTCTACACCTGTCCACTGAGAATATGACTGGTCTTTGACACTTCAGTCTCAAGTGATGACTTGGCTTTTCAGGTATTTGCTGATTAGCTCTCACCACAGACAGCTTTAGAATTTGTCATTTGTCTTGAATGGGAGACCAACTCTGTTTAAGCACTCCCCATCAAGCATCCTATTTTGTTCCTACAAGCCCATGAAACATGGATTCAATACCCCTGGATTCTCAGTATCTAGTAGAGTCTTACTTTACTTAGCAGGTGCCCCCAAGTAAAAAGAGGCAATTTACCCCTCACTTCAGGGCTTTCAACCCTCCTGATGTTTTTAAGCCACTCCACCCCATTCACACTCCCAGTACCCAGAGTAGGTCTTTATCTCTTAGGCACTTTGAAACTCAGGAATTTTTATTCTGTTTATTGGAGGCTTTCAGCTTACCTCTCTAATATCAGGTCCAGAACTGAGTAGATGAACTATGGTTCTCAGATGGGCTCAGGTCTCTAATTTTGTAGCTTCCCTGAGCAGCATTCAAACACTGCTGCTCTCTGTCTCCAAGCAATTTTTCAGGATTATAACTTCCAAGCAATGCTTCAAGGCTCAATCAAACAAAAAGCATGACTATGTTTTTAAAAACATAGTTAAATTCAGGGATGCCTGGGTGGCTCAGTGGTTGAGCGTCTGCCTTCGGGTCAGGGCATGATCCTGGATTCCTGGGATGGAGTCCCACATTGGGCTCCCTGCATGGAGTCTGCTTCTCTCTCTGCCTATGTCTCTGCCTTTCTCTCTCTGTGTCTCTCAATAAATAAATAAAATCTTAAAAAAAAAAAAAAAAACACCAAAACCCACATAGTTAAATTCAGACTACATTAACCAATTCCTCAAGTGTCCCAGAGTCATTTTACTATGCATGGTGTGCTAATGTGTATGTATGAGCAATAAGTTGGTCTATTTGTTCTTGTTGTTGTTGTTTTTTTTACCTTTAATATAGGCTTTTCTTGATTAGGTATTCCAAAAGATGCATTTGAGTGTTGAACTTAACATGTCATGAATGAAGCTGAGGGATCTAATTATATTATAAAACAAAAGAACCAATAAAACACAGCACTAACTGAAAGAGATAATAAACAAATTTTGATTACTACAGAATTCATCAAGAAAAACTTAACCGTGGTTAAACAACAATAACAAAAGCTTCACTTTTAATGAGGTTTAGCTATAGGGCCCTCTTCTTTAAAATCATCTCCAAATCCTAGAAAGATGCCAAGTATCAAAACTTTTCTTTGATACATGAAAGGATAACAGACGATTACCATGATCAGCAATGAAGAGACTCATATAACCCAAAGTAATCAAGAAATGACAAGCTAGCTTTCACTGTCATTACTAGAGGGTCATCAACTAGAAAAATAACATGATGAAAGCACCCCAACACAAGACTAAAAGGATGATGCTAGCAAGTTAGAGGTTTGATGCGTCACTTTTTCATTCAGGAGTGGTCTCTAGTGGTCTCCTCTTTCATGTTTTCTAGTAGTCAAGAGACCTAAGAAAATAAGATCTACATTCCAGGATTACACAAAATGCAACCGGTAGATTTAATAAAGGGAGGAGGGAGCATTCCACATATGCAAGTTATTTATTTAAAGATAAATAATTTCCCCCCTTTTTTCCTCTCTTCACTTTACTTTCACAATTAAGTATGGAGTGTTGTTATATTCGTGTTTTGAATGTATAAATTCTGCTACAAATTCTGTTTGAATGTATAAAGTACATAAAAATGTAAATAAAATTTAAAACTACTTGCCCTATCCATTTATCAGTACCCCCACTGTACCATAACAAAACATATCACCAAAGAAAAGCACCATTTACTTTATGAATACAAACTCCAATAATAAATGGGGGATATATTTGCAAAAAGGAACCCCACTTTGGGGCAAAGGCTATCAGCTCTGGTATAGCCGTAATTTGGAATATTTGGCTACTTGAGAAAACTCAGTGTCTGATTTGATTTGAAAAACCCTGCAAGAAGCATTACTTTCATGGAGTTATGAATATCTCAACCTAAAATACTACTTTTAATGATAGAAACTACAAATATAAAGACTTAGAATATTGTTGAAGCCATCTGCAACCATGTCAAGTTTATAGATGTCAAGTGAGTCTGCAGAACATTTACTATAACAAATCTTATTATGTTCCATTAAATCATAAAACAATCTTTACCTAAACACACCCTATGCTATACTTTTACAGCAATAGTGACTGAAGGTTTTTTTCACACAACAAACCGAAGAAACAGCCTATAAAAGCTATGGGAATACTAAAGTTCTTTAAAAAATATAAAATACCCTAGGTCTTAGGACTTATTTGCTGTAACAATAAATCAAGGAAAAGTAACATATGCAATTATTACCTAAACTTCAGTAGATAAGAGCATGACAAAGTAAGAACTTAATCTTCTTTATATAGCACACAATGGAAATAGATGCACTTTGGTTTATCTATACTTTAACATAAAAGATCCGTTATAATCAACCATATTCCTGAGGGAGGACTGTTCCTTGGATAGAAAACTGAAAGCAGACAGAATCCTATAACATAATATTCAAACTTATTCAGGGTATGAAGATTATATAAAGAGGTTTTTGGGGTTTTGTTTTGTACTTTAAATAATCCATCTCCATCTCTTCCGGAGAGGAGACAAATGAAAATTCGGCCAAACCACTTAAGTGACTATATTAAACTTTGCTTATCCAACCATAACTTATAAGTAGTTCAAAACACAGGTGACTTCAACAACTTGGTATCTCTCATTTGCACCACTCCATGACTTCCACAGCTCAACCCAAGCTGGCTGCATGAAGGACACAGTTCTGTAATATTTTAAACAGAAAACTATGGGAGGGAATTATATGATATATATTTTTATTTGCAAACCGCCAACAAATCTGGCCCAAGGGTTAAAGGAAATGATACTCTATCAACACTATATTCATACCTTGCAAATTGTATCCACGTCCCAGGGTAGTATAGTCCTCAGATCAATGACTTCACAAGACACTCCAAGCTTTTCTTGAGCCATGGAAGCCACCTCTCGGATCACGTGAACCTGAAATAAAAATAGCAGAGAATAACTACAGAGATTCAGACCCAAAAAGTTAACTGAATTCTGACATCATTAATAGAAAAGCATTTAAAGCCAGAAGAACTTATTTGCACGGAGAATTAAATTTGTTTTAGATACGTTGAACCCCATATTACACCAAAGTAATCAAACACAGATGCCTAGAAAACAGTTGGAAAGATGTTCTTAAATTTCAGAAAAGGAAAGGAGTCATTGACAGAGACACTGATTCTAAAGATATCAGCACACAGAAGGGAAAGTCAACCTACTTTCTAGAGAAAGCATGTGGAGGGAGAAGTAAAGGGCAGAACTCGTGGAACCCTGTAGAAGACCAACATTTAAGGGGAAGATGGAGAAGGAGGAATTTGCTTTAAAAAGAAGGGATGCCTGGGTGGCTCAGCAGTTGAGTGTCTGCCTTTGGCTCAGGGCGTGATCCCGGAGTGCCAGGATCGAGTTCCACACTGGAATCCTTGTATGGAGCCTGCTTCTCCCTCTGCCTGTGTCTCTGCCTCTCTCTCTCTCATGAATAAATAAATAAAATCTTTTTAAAAATAAAAATTAAAAAGAAGAAGAAAAAAAAAAGAAGCAAAAGGAGGAGGAGGAGGAAGAGGGGCACCCAGATGGCTCAGTTAAAGGACCAACTTTCGATTTGAGCTCCCTTAGGTCATGATCTCAGAGTCATGAGATAGAGCCCTGCGTCAAACTCCACAGGCTCTTAAGCTTGCTTAAGATTCTCTCAACTGTCTCTGTCTCTTCCCCCTCAGCCCTTCCCAACTTCTCTCTCTCTCTCTCTCAAAACAAAACGATGATAATGAGAACAGTGAAGGAAGAAGAAAGAAAGAAAGAGAAAGAAAGAAAGAAAGAAAGAAAGAAAGAAAGAAAGAAAGAAAGAAAGAAAGAAAAGAAAAGAAAAGAAAAGAAAAGAAAAGAAAAGAAAAGAAAAGAAAAGAAAAGAAAAGAAAAGAAAAGAAAAGAAAAGAAAAGAAAAAGAAAAAGAAAAAGAAAAAGAAAAAGAAAAAGAAAAAGAAAAAGAAAAAGAAAAGAAAAGAAAAGAAAAGAAAAGAAAAGAAAAGAAAAGAAAAGAAAAAGAAAAAGAAAAAGAAAAAGAAAAAGAAAAAGAAAAAGAAAAAGAAAAAGAAAAAGAAAAAGAAAAAGAAAAAGAAAAAGAAGAAAAAGAAAAAGAAAAAGAAAAAGAAAAAGAAAAAGAAAAAGAAAAAGAAAAAGAAAAAGAAAAAGAAGAAAAAGAAAAGAAAAAGAAAAAGAAAAAGAAAAAGAAAAAGAAAAAGAAAAAGAAAAAGAAAAAGAAAAGAAAAAATAGGAGACAATATATTCCAGAAACTAAAGAAGAAAGGGTTTCATAGAGACAGTAGCCAGTGTCATACACAGTAGCAATATGTGATAAGGGTTGGACTTAATTAGAAAATTAGGAATGTCTCTGGAATAGTTTTAGTAAATTAGTGGGAACAGAACTCATAAGGTACAAAAACATAGGGAAGTTAAGGAATTAAATACAGATAGTAGAAAACAACTCTTCAAGCTCAGTGATTAAAAAAAAGGAAATATACTGGTATTTAAGGGAAAATCAGGGTAGAGAAAAGGTATTTTTTTTAGAGAATGTATATACACCTTTTTAACATTGAAAGGAAAAACTGAAGATGCAGAAGAGGGAAAGAACCAGCCAGTAAGTTACAGCCTGGAAAAGGTAAAATGGAATATAATCTGAAAGATTCGTAGAGGTAGCTATGAAAACCAGACAACTCTTCTTAGGAGGACAAAAGAGAAAGAGGCCTGTCAGCAGACATGGTAAGTATGAGAAAAAAAGCAAAGCACTGACCTCCCTATTACCAAGAGAGGCAAGATGTGTACTGAAGGACAGGGATCTAGATAAAAGATTTTCCCACCGGAATTAAGAAACCATGAGGACTAACTACCTCTCCAAGCCAAAACTGAAGTGGAGAAGAGAGTCAGAGGTTGTAGTATTACAAATTATTTATTTTCCTTATTTAATGCTATACTAAGTTTTCTAAATTAAGTATTTCCTTTACACAAAGAAAAACAGACCTTCAAAAAAAAAAGAAAGAAAGAAAGAGATAAAGAAGAGATAGATGTCTATAGTCAAAGGGAAAAAAAAAAAAAGCCCCAAGTTTAAAAGTCTGGAGGTAGAACAACATGAGAACAAGCATTAGGAAAACTGAAGCAGATCAGTATTGAGGTTCACTAGAGCAGAGGACGGTATAGAATCCTGCGTCGGGACCCGTCGATGGCCCACATGCAATCACAAGAGATAGCAACAGATGTGCTGAAAAAGACAGGAAGTACAGAAGCAAGTGAGGATGTATAATGTGTGCTTCGAAAGAAAGTTTTTAATGAGTACATTTTTATAAATTCAACAGATTTTAATGGCTTCACCACATGCATACATATTTTAATAAGACTGAATAGATTGATATGACCTCACCTTCAACCAGAAATCAGTACCAGATATAGATGCAGCACTAACAAGACTTAAATATGAGATATAAGAAAAACAACACTTTTGCTTTTTACAGTATTAGGATTAAAAATGAGAGCTTCCAAGCACAGAAGAATTATCAGTTCTTATAAATGTTACTGACCTGAGTACCCCAGGCAACTAGAGTCACATCGCTCCCTTCCTGAATGACTTCGGCCTGGGACAGGGGAATGTTGTAAGGTTCTACAGGAACCTGTTCAACTGAATATATAACAGGGAAAAAAAGTAATTTATTTTCTTGCATGGGCATTCGTGCATAAGTGAATATAAGAATTTCACTGTGGCAAAGCTTTATTTTATTCTTCTCCCAAATTACCTAAGTTATTTAAAACAGAAATAGCATTTATTATTATACATATGAAAAGGTACAATGTAAATGTTTAAAATACACCAGCTATCCTGGAACAGAAAAAGAGTTTGGGTAAATACTAAGAAAATCTTAAAGTAAGGACTTTGGTCAACAATGTGTCAATATTGATTGGAACATTAACTGTTAACGAATATGCCATACTAATATATAACGTTAATAATACAAAAAACTGGGTGAAGGATATATGGGAACTGCTTTACTATCCTCATATTTTTTCTGTAAATCTAAACCTGTTCTAAAAAAATAAAGTTAAAAAAATTTTAGTATGCTTCTGCTAAAACTTGATCAGACTGAATTAACTTCTCAGACAAGTTTTCTCTCAAGAAGCAAACTTATGGGGGGTTGAAAAACAAAACACAGATAGTAGGCCCACATTTTTAAGTAGACTTTATTTTTGCACCTTGCCTCTATGAACACTTCATCAACTATGGCACCTGACAACACCTTAGTGTTGTTTCAAAACTGAATCCTGTAGACCCCAAAAAGATCCATTAAAGCAACTCTACCAGGCCAAAAGGATGAAGAAGCCACTGGAATCTCAGAGATGACTATTTCAAGATTATTTCTGCCCAATTAAGTGCAAGCAGTATAGAGCTAAATTCAAGAGGAAATCATAAGGTGAATTTTTAAATGGAAGTAAGTTGATGGACTTGCCCCCATTATGCTAGGAAGCCTTCTTGAATTCCCACATGGGAGCAGTAAAACAGTAGAAGTGTTGAGGGCAAAACGTTCCCTTTTGTTCACCTGCCCTATCATCTTTTATCATTGTTATATGGATTTTTTTTTAATTAAAAGAGTAAAGAAGAGCAAACTAAAAGGTTCCCTCTGTGCCCCAGTTAGTTCTTCCAACTCTCCTGCCTGGGGTTATTAATACCAACAATTTCCTGAGTATCTGCAGGGGACAGCTTTCACTCTTTCTGTCATCCAAGCTTCTTAATCTTCTTCCTAAATTAGGGAAATGTCCCAACTGCTGAGGCAGGGGCCCTCTGTCCACAACAGAAGTAGGGCCCCCATCTGCACTTTTTCAGCTTCCGTTGCAGGTAGGGCACAAAATATGGGCTCTGCGGATCAAATGCACCCATGCCACACTCTGAAGTGGAAGCTGATGACAAGAGCAGCAGGCATCCAGAATGCATCCTAGAGTACTGGTAACAGTGGAGACAGATCCAGCTTTCAGGCTTAGCGGTCTCAATGATTCAGACTATGGTGCCATGCCCACAGACAACTGCTGAGGCATCTTTGTAAAACCAATTATGCAGTAGAATTTGGGGTACTGCTTCTAGACATATGGCCTCTGAGCCTGGTTCTTAGGCACTCCAAAGATTTCTGAGCTATTCACTATCTTTCAATACATCTTTTCTGCTTATATTGGCCAGAGTTGGATTTCTGCTTGAAAATTAAGAACCCGGGATCCCTCGGTGGCGCAGCGGTTTGGCGCCTGCCTTTGGCCCAGGGCGCGATCCTGGAGACCCGGGATCGAATCCCATGTCGGGCTTCCGGTGCATGGAGCCTGCTTCTCCCTCTGCCTGTGTCTCTGCCTCTCTCTCTCTGTGTGACTATCATAACTAAATAAAAAAATTAAAAAAAAAAGAAAATTAAGAACCCTGTCTTTACAGATGTTTACAATATTCAAGTATGCACATTCATAAACATATGTGAATCTTTGTTTCTACATATAAAATCTCTTTGTACAACCTGTTCAGAAGTCTTCTATAATCTCCCCTTTTTTTCGCTTGGCAATATATCTTGGCCATGTTTTCATGTCAAAAGTATAGTTTTTAAAATCATTTACAAGTAAATCTATCAAATTTAATGGTACTGTTATCAGTGATGTGGAAATTTTTATTTCTTGTATTTTTTTTATATTTCCAATCCAGTAACATTTCTATGACCAATGCCAGAGAAAGATATTTTTTAGACCATCAGTATGTTTAAATAATACCCTGAAATCTACAAATCTACTCCAAACAGATGACAATTAAGCTACCTAACAAACCTGAGACACAAGTTGTGTTAGAAAACTCATAAGTGTTAAAAGCATGTTTTAAAGTCTTTGTGTAACACGCAAATTATGTTGAGCCAGATACTTCCATCTAATCCAGGAGTAGGCAAGTCAATTTTTGTAAACAGTATCTTACTGGAATACAGCCACCTCCATTCATTGACATATCATCTATGGCTGGTTTTGCCCTACAACAGCAGAGCTGAGTAGTTTACAAAAGACAGCATGGCCTATCGGCTAGAATTCTTATTACCTCTTCCGTTAGAGAAAGAGTTTGCCAACCTCAATTGTAAACAGTGCTTTCAGAGGTTAATTCCAGTCCATTCACTGACAGCTTAAATCCAGTATTTGATGGACAGATGAACCAACAGATATTCAAGTGAACAAAAGAACACACAGACAGGGAAACAAACATTCAACTGGAGTAGCAGTATACTCTACTGAGCAGTTCTCAAGTCGCTAAACCAAAACGATGGTCAAGAATGATACTGATGATATCCAGCAAACATGCAAAAGGTAGCACATAAGCTCTTTGCCATCAAGTTTTTTCTCTGGCAGCAAGATCTGCACGCCAACGGACAAGGCTTAAAATGTGTACTGACACACTCTGTCTTGTCAGTGAGTCAGTGGCTGTCATTCAAGAATCCTGTCCTCCTGCCTTTTAAATCAGTTGCCAGCTGATTAGCAAATCCCTGGAAAACACAATTTTAATGGCTAGCATACTAAAAGAAATGGGTTAGCATCTTGGCCCACTTCCTTTGAAAAACTGCCAGTGAGTGACTAACTGCTTCATTGTATTAAATAAATTACCCAGAATAATAAGACCTCATTACTTTAACACTTAATTAAGGAACAACATGGCACACAAAGTCTTGTTCTCCATCGACAAAATCGTGCAACGAATTAGATTCAAGAAGAGTCTCATGTTAAAAAACAAACAGAAATCTACTAGATTCTCATAAATTTAATCCTGAGAGCCGAAGAATGAGAGTATTTGTTTATTTGAACTCGGCAAACACGTCACATTGAGGGCAAGTCATAATTCACAAGTACTTTAGTTACACTAATTTAAAAGATACTCCAAGAGAAAGTTATTATTTCAAATGAGCATTCTTGCATTTCTACCCCATGACTATGTGCTTTTTGAAATACAATAGGTAAGAGGAGTGATAATAAAAATTTTAGGAACTGAAAGGCCCCTATACAGTCATATTACAGATTTCTGTTTTCATAGCAGTGGGACCAACTGAGACCACTCCATTTACCAAATGCTGATTACATTCTAATCTTTGCACTAATGAGCATTCCAGACAAACTTCCAGACAAACCCTTCAGCATCAGATACATACTGACAAAAATGTGTCACCCAGAAAAATAAGAAATCTTTCTGAGACCAAAATTTAAAAGATGCAACTTGTGGCTCGAATAGCAAACCCATTTTAAAAAAATTTTTTTCAAGTTCCACATATATGTGTTCTTTGGATTTACAAATGCACTTATATTCATATTACAGATACAGACTCATGGCACAAATGTGGAATTTTATTTCCCATCCTCCTCTTTTTTTCCTTCTAATTTTCTTGTCATTTTTTTGGTCATCTTGAACACATTTTTAAAATAAGGCAGTGTATAAACGTATATACTATATACAATACACCTTTATTCATTTAATAGTTATTACATACCCAATATATGCAGGCATGATACAAGATACTAGAATATGAAACTGCAAGAGGCAGTTGCTGTCTTTGACAAGCACAAACTCAACTGGGAGTTATGAAGATGGAAAGACATGATCAGCAAACAAAAACATGACATTGTGGTGGGGATAAACTGCCTGGGAAAACAAGGGGAAGCAATAACCTGGTTGTAAGGATCGAGAAATGGAGGGCATTGGTTGTGCCCCACCATGAAGGGCACAACTAAGAGGGGTCTTAGAGATAACAAAGAAATAAAGAGGGTACTCCATATAGAAAGAATAGATGTATACAAAGAAATGAAGGTGTGAAGTCATGTGTGCGCCATCGACAAACATGAATCAACACACATTTATGTGCTGTTTCAGATGAGGATGAAAGCTTTAAATTCTATACCCAAGTCCCTAGAAAAACCTTTTCAATTCCTTCTGGCTTCATATATTAATAACACATGTAGAACGTGTCTACAAGATAATAATAACTCACTCTTAATGATGCAAGCTTCCCTGTGAGGCACAATATTACCATTACAGAGATAATAGGGTCATTTCTCTGCCCTGGCACTAATTTACAGTAATGCTAGTTTCCTCACAAATGCGAAAGTCAGTAGGGCTTTATTCATGTTGCATTATACATGATGCAGTGATAAAACATAAATGTTCTTCTTAAAAAGAAATAGAATATATTTCGAAAATGTTACTTCATGTTGCCTGATTACTAACAACATTGGCAATCTTCATACTTGAGAAAGTCTATCTCATTTGTCAGAATTTACAGTCTAATGAGGGAGAGCGGGCAAATCCACTCAGCCAAGAACCCAATTCCCAGCCCTGTCTCTGCATCTAATTAATTTGGTGATCTCTGACAAAGCACTGTGTTACTTGTATGCCCCAGTATCCCATGTGTAAGCTATGGAAGGCAGCATCTGTCTGTCTGCCACATCACAGGGACAGAATGGGGACATATTAAGTGAATCACTGTGGCTATCCTTTCAGTTCTTAGGAAGAAGACAGCTTTAATTTGAAATAATTCAATGATAAAGTCATTAAAACTACAGAGAAAGTTTTCATTCTAGGAACATTTATTCTTACTCCTATTATTATTTTCTGTATAAAACTGATATTTAACTATC